CAATGGTTATTTGTTTTTTGAAATTATTACCTTATTTAATAAAATTGATTATTAGAAATAATAGGCAGTTTGAAAGTGGATCCATATTTACAGAAAAGTTGAAAAGTGGTATCTAGCATGCTACTTGTGGTTATCAGCATATTATGCGAAGGGAAGTAAATCATGTAACAAGAAAAATGTTGACGATCAAAGTTTTTTTTTTTATAGGATAAGGGTGATAAACGAGCACACAGTCCCACCTGATGGTAAGTGGTTGCTGTGACCCATAGACATCTACATCTATCCTCTATTACAAATCAAAATGCAGATGCGTTGTCACCCGTGAGGACCAAGATGGAATGCGTCGTTTCCAGTAAAAAAGGGTATCCGGTTCTCTGCACTCACCATACGAAACACAGGTATTCTGTGAGAGCGTGGTCCATCCCCGGTCGAGCCAACCCATTCGTGCTACAACTATACTATTAATATAGCTGCAGCATGGCTCTACCACGTCAAAAAAGTGGATGGATATAAGAGTAGAGGAAGGTCTAATAAAACTGGGTGTACTGTGTTAGGGATGATATGCGTAAGAAAGGAGTGAGTGAAGAGATGAAGGCTAACAGAAGAGAATGGAAGAGTAAGACATGCTATGACAACCCCAAATAACTTGGAATAAGTGCAGAAAGAAAAAGATGAATTAGTGGGAATAATTTATTTTCATAAAATTTTATCGATTGCGGTTTTTACCCAACTTAAGGAACGGTGCATTTATAATTATAAAATTTGTCATTTTTTAACTGTTTAGGTAGTGTAAAATTACAGTACAATATGCTGCACGGAAGATCAATCCCTTCCTAAACTGTTTTATATATTTGTATCATTTTAATCAACACCTTCCATCGATTGTTTTATGCGTTAAAATTTTTAAAATCTTTCGCGTCTGAAACAAAATTTATTTCGTATACAACATCATAAAAATTCCCTTTCATTTCTCAATTCATTGCACACAATAAATATCTCTGATATAAACAAACGTTACGGAATCGATGTGTTATAGGCGTGTACGGTCGATAACGAATCCGCTCTATTTCAGTCCCCAGCTGGACAGGCAGCCGTGTGCCGAATGCCGATCATACCGGCATTATCGTGACACGGGGCTTCGGGCCACGCTAACTGTTGTAGGTGACAATAATTTAAAAACAAGTAAAAATAAAAAAAATGTACAACCGACTTCAATATAAATTATCTAAAAAATTGAGACCCATGCCGAAATAAACTAATACCTATGACATTATGATGCGAGACGGACGGACAGTAAAATTGTAAGGGTTCAGCCGTGATGAGTAATCCCCGTTCATCGACTTCACAACGCTTTACAGTTATAATTCTATTCCTGTACTTCCTGCCCCAGTGGAGCGCATAGTTGACGCTATTAGCAACACAAAACGACGTTTCGCAATTAAAATTTTCTGCCGTATACTATTTTAACATATTATGACATATAAAAATCATCCCAGTTTTTGTGTGCACAAAAACCTTAGGTAAGTATTACTTCAAGGATAAATCTTTCTTAACAGTGGTAGAGCCACGCGCCAGCTTTTGCTGCCGCACGGATGGGCCGGCTCGAACCGGGGTGGTACCGCGACCTCACGGAAAACCAGCGTGAAGTAGAGGTTTACCTCTGTGTTTCGCTTGGTGAGTGCAGGTGGCCGGAGGCCCTTTTTACTGGAAATAAGGCATTCCATCTTGGTCCTTACGGGTGGCAACGCATCTACATTTTGATTTGTAACAGAGGATAGATGTAGCTGTCTATGGACCGCAGCAACCACTTACCATCAGGTGGACTGTGTGCTCGTTTGTCACCCTTCTCCTATTAAAAAAAAATCTATCCTTAATAAAAATTTGGTACACGTTTGGTCAGGTATACTTGAAAATTTAAAAACTAGACCGTACAACCAGTGCGCGTTGCCAGTGATGACCTATGGAACTGAAACGTGGTCCCTCACTGCTGACCGTATGAGGAAGCTCAAGGTCGCTCAGCGAGCTATGGAGAGGGCTATGCTCGTGGTTTCTCTGCGTGATAAACTTAGAAATGAGGATATCCGCAGTAGAATCAGAGTTACTGACATAGAGCAAAGGATTAATAAGCTGAAGTGGCAATAGGCCGGCCATATAGCTCGAAGAACCGACGACCGATGGGGAAAAAAGGTTTTCGAGGGACAGCCTCGTACTGGCGGACGAAGTGTAGGGCGTCCCCCCACTATGGAGTGACGACCTGGTAATATATGCAGGAAGTCGATGGGTGCAAGTGACTCAGGGCCGTGCTTTATGGCATTCCTTGGGGGAGGCCTATGTTCAGCAGTGGACTTGTGAAGGGCTGTAATTATGATGATGATGGTTTTGATACCATATTGCCCGGTAGGTGTCGTAAGAGGCAACAAAGGGAAACAAACCAGGAGGTGAGCAGCAGCGTTTTCTTAATAACAGCTAGAAAATTAAAAAAACTCGACTGTAAACCCGCCCGTCAAGCGTGGCATCTATGACAAATATCCCTTTTATGTGGAGGTCAATATTCAGCAGTAGACTATGGATACACTGTTATGAAAGACTGAATAATTGCGTTACATATGCATAAGTCATCATTATCATCATTATATTAGCCATCATTGGTCCCTGTTGAACGTAAGCCTCTCCAAAAGACTACCTACGCAAAGTGCTGTGTCCTCTGAATCCATAAACCATGTAAGATCTCTGGTAGCAGACGTAATGTCTGCACTTGGCACAGAAGCCTACTCGGGCAAGATATTATATATAATAAACTGTTCGTAAAGTGATTATAATCTCGTTTGCTCACGAAAATGTTTTCATTAAACAGATGCACAACCTATACGGAAAAATACTTTGGAACACATTGTATCATTGCATTTCTGGCTGGCTGCCAAACAACAAATAGATTATTTTGCATCTGTGTGCATTGCTGTTATTATTTAGCCTTTGTAAAATATATTTTCAAAGCATCATCATCATATTGTTTGGAAAAAAACTATCTAGTGTGATCGTAAATAATACACTTGTGGTTCCGTATTTTAATTATAAAATGTTCAGGTTAAAATTGTAAAAAGTTTTACAGTTTACCATTATTTTTACAACTTTCCTAAGGAACCTTAAAAACCAAAATAAATCGTGGTAATGACTCTTCCATGAACCACAAGACGCGTTTGATTGCATTGCCCAAATGAAAACTCCATTTAACTTCACTTGGCGCGTGTGTTTGTTTTATCAGAATAAAAGATCAAAGAAGACTCTGTTGGACCATTAAAAGCTCCCGTTTATGCGAGTGCGCATAGCCAATTCGCGTGCGTGTATAAACACAAACAAGCAAACAATAAACTGTTTGGTATTTCGTCAGTATGTTTGTCTGTTTGACAGTCGTGGTTCGTTACCCTCGAAGCTGACGTGAATTCGAGAAATAAAGGGAACGCATGATGCAATGTAAACACAAATTATGTTAATAAGTCTACCAAATGGACAGTTCTACAGATGGCACTGCACATGTCAATTATAATATCCTGGAGGAGTTTTCGAGGAGTCCGTCGGTAGTGCAATCTGCTGAGACCTAATTTGTAATATGGACAACCGCTGATATTTAAGGGTTATGCCTTTAATCTCAGTCGAAAACCCAACACAAGACAACCTGTCCCTGAACTTTATTTGGAGTTGATTGCAGGTGTCCTTGGTCAAGGTAACTATTACTTTTAGGTGGACTCTCGGACTTTAGAATATATGCGGATTGATTTATTAATATTGAAAAAAAAAAGCACCGGAATGTTCTTACTTCTTACAGACAACGTAAAAAAAACTGCAAAATATGTAACTACTTAAAATTGGTGAGAAAAACATTATTGTCGTTATTACCGCTTTTAGAATAAAATAGGGCCTCCTATAAGTTATGTTATTGGGGTATATTACAGCTTATTACATTATTCGATAACATATCGATAAATGAGGAACAAATGGAAACATATTCATTTTTATTCCGTCCTCGCTAATACGATTCGTATTACCGAGAATCGTAAATAGAATTACATAGCAGCTTTTACCGGGGGTGTTCATTTTCTTGTCGTCATATATTACGAAAGGTTGTTCCATATTCCTTTTATTAGTGGTCGGTGGATTTGATTATAATTGCGTGCGTAGCTAAGGCTAGCGAGTAATTAAATGAAGCAAGTCTACATATCTATAACTCCTCATCAGAATGTAAGAAGCCACGCTCAAGTAACTAAAGCGAAGAAAATAATTTCTGCTTGATAGCTTCTGAAGCGCTGTGTTTTAGGACAGATTTTTAAAGATAATATTTGAAAACTGTTGCATTTCTTTGAAGTCGACTTTTAATTTTTAAGTCGAGTGCTTATTCTCTTAACTATTGTAGCTTTAAATATTATGCAAAAATAAATTCTAATACTATACTTGATTTGTGATGTGTCTTAAATTCAAAACATATTGATTATGTTCCCTTAGTACTTTGTACTGAGGTATAAACGAACGACCTCATAAGGTAATACACAGATTTACTTCCAAAGCGACACAGTTAGGGCAAATCCCTGTCGCCATAATGATAACGAATGAACCGTAATTACAATTACCTAATAACGTCAGAGCTTCTCATCCATTATGAACGGCAAACGAATACAGCTCGGCAATATTCAGCACCGCCACCAATTTCGAGAATACTTAACTCTGTTTTATTTCACTTACGAGCTCATCTAAATTTTATGATATCAAACAAAAAGTTCAATTTTGTGTTGGCAAAGCGTATAGAAAGATAACAGTAAGATTAAAATTACAATAAAAAGACTGAAGATATTACATGTAGCTATATAAAGCTTGAATGACGAGAAAACTTAAAGAATTTTATCTGAGTATACTGTTTACATGGGAACACTATAACTTTTTTATAACTTATGCATAAGTTAGGCTGGTGGTATTTTGATTAATAATACTTTTATCTTTTTGTCCCTCAGGTCTTAGCGGTACGAAAGCAGACCAGCAGCACAGGCGAGAGGTGTTCGGTTCGAATTTAATCCCACCGAAGCCCCCCAAGACCTTCCTAACTTTGGTATGGGAGGCTTTGCAAGATGTCACCCTCATTATCCTGGAGGTAGCCGCTGTCGTCTCGTTAGGATTGAGTTTTTACAAGCCGTCCGAAGATGAGAGCGATATTGGTAAGTCTAACTTTGTAAATAAACTTTATCTACGTATGTATCCCATGAAAAAATGGTAAATGCGGCTAAGACCCAGATTTATGATAGCGGGCCAAGACAAAAGATTCTAGCCCCATAAGATTTGCTCGAACTTACCCATTATTTAACTAAAGCAGAGGAAATTGTCTCGGACCTGCGACTAACTATTTACTTCGCAGTTATATGGAGAATTAAAAAAATAAACTTAAATCAAAGTATTTATTTTCCTTTGAGAAATATTTTATATGTGCGCATTTGTTTTGTACAGTAAACTCAACTATCTATGTTCTAGCAGAGGTTTCTCTTAATACCTTGAGTTGCCCATTAAAAGAGTGTCACTCATAAAATTAGTTAAGCAGAAGATAAAGGAACGAGTCCAAAGAGAGAACACCAACTTTTAATATGAACTTTAGACCGTCGATCTATTCGGTGTTGACTCATTGGGTCACATCCCATTGTTTCGGGGTCGTATATGAAGTTCGTTTTCAGGTATGAAACGATAAATTCGTTCCTTTCTGTTCCCTTTAACATGATAATGGAAAGGATAAGAAGGTACCGTGTACTTTGTAAATAAGAGACACGGGCGCACGTTAACCGGAAATGAGCTTTCTTTCATTGAAATTTTCTATTAAACAGGAAATAAATTAAAAGCAAATAGTTCTGTTTAAGAGTAATAATAATAAAATAATATATACCTAGATAATGATGTTAAATTGTTGTAGTGTTATTGCTGATTCATAAGGCTCAATTTGGTTGATTGTTCAATCCCGCACCATTGTGGTAAAGCCATGTCAATAGTAATACCGGACTTTTTATTAAGTTAATAACGAACTAACAACAACTTAATGTATAATTAATAATTTCGCTTTTCTTTTTTCAATAACAAATTGGAAACGGTAGACGATATTGGTAAGAATGTCTTAATTTGCTTGGAGATTTTAACACTATCCTTGCCCTTCCTATAACTATGTACTTGGAATATCGATATATATATGCTATTAATATTTTCCAAATTATAATATTTTCTATGTATGTAACTAAATCTATATTAAACTGTGTCTATCTGTCATAAATTATTATATTTCCCTATTTTATCTGTGTATATATTTATCTCGGCCATGATTTTTCGATATCAAAAGTAAAATTTCATAGATCACTTTTTGGTGAAACATCCAATCGTTAATAAATAATGTAATAATGTCTAACATTTAGTGTATGTACATTAGATTTTTTTTAGTTCTTAACATAAAACTGAAAGAATCTTGTGATTCTTTGAATATTTGAAAATGCTCTTTCGATCAAGACATTTCCCTTTAATAGCCTTTGAGCCACTCCTGGTGAATTTTCTGATACAGCATTGAAGAATAGCAAACGATGTACTTACTTCCTAAATAATTTATTTTCTTTTAGAAGTATAGCGCCTATTGGCGAAAACTTTAGAACGTAAGGCCTTCTAAAATATTACATTGAAATAGTGACAGTTGCACCTGTTCCACTCCCATAATTTAGTTTTATTTTTATGTTTGGACGGTCAAACAACACTTATTAAGAAATTCGAAGAATAAACATTTAAATTGTTATAGCGCAATATGAAAGTAGATTTCTAAAGCATACGTTTACATACGTTTCATATTAACATCAACTGTCCATCACAAGTACACTACTAGACCTCCCCCAATAAATGCCGCACCTCACAAGGTCATTATGACACGTTACCAGAACGTCAATAAACTACGGGGGTACGTCCAATGTTTTATACGTTTATTTGTAGGAAAACGCCAAATGCGTTCGAAGAATCATGGCCCTCGGGTATGTTATGATATTCTAGTTGCTTATCTTCCTGAGTACTGACCACGTGACAGTAGATGATGCACCCGACTCTCCCAGTGTTCTTCCAATGTTTGTTTGCTTTAGTGATGTTATGCTAGACAGAAAAAGAAGATAGCGGTGGTGGTAGTCAGTGTATGTGTGTTGTGTTTTACATATAATATATAAATTAGAATTAGAAGAATATAATTAATATTTTTTTCACTTAAACACTTAAATTTAAATAAAGTTTGTAATATATAATACTTTAAATTGAAATTATCGATTAACTTTTAAAACCTTTCCTAAGAAAGAATTACCCTAACCTACCTAATTCGCTAATATTTGAGCCGTAATCAAATGATAACGATACAAGCTGATGTGCAACTTACATATTATTAGCATTAAATCCTATAACACCCTCGTTATCGTATCGGGGTCACCGATGTGATCGACCCAACAGCATAATATCATAATTGAATAACGATCCACTCTCTCTCTCGCACTTTACACCTGAAACAAGGACAAGTGGCAACCCTTAGCCATTCATAGGTGTAATCTAAGTGAGCATTGACGATAACTAACGTATTTTAGGTATTGCAAATTGCATTGCTTTAGTCATCACGAAGGCAGTAATGAATGAGTGGCGCCTATAACACGTGCTAGATTCGATATGTGATGCCTCCCAGATTTTAATGCTTTCTATTATGCAATTTAATGCACTCTTAATTTTAACAATAATTGCAACAAAATAAAATGCTACAATTTGTTTAGACAATAAATTAATACACATATACATAAAGATAATTTAATTTTAATACGACGTTTAACTAATTCCGTTTGTTATTCAATTTATTTAAAATAGAAAACAATTAAAATTATCCTTTACATAAGAACCAACTTTAATATAGTAAAATTTACAAAGATTTAAAAAAAACAAAGCATTAAAATGTATTAAAAAGTGTGGTTCAATGTAATGTATTTAATAGTAAACTAAATTAGTAACTAGTAGTAACTATTAAGTTACATCATTGCTTAGTATATTGTGTAATATTTTATTTATATTTATAAATGTTGTATTTTTGTGACTTATTTCATATACTATTACAGAGATTAATTATATATTATCCATAGATTTATATAATGTTTAGTTGTTTAATATACATTTAGATATTTTACACCTGCCAACATTTCTCTTTGACGCCTGGATTTGACTGGTCTAACCTACGTACCTTTAGTTTTAAGGTGTTACATTTAAGTTTTAAATAACTAACTTACAAAAAAATTCTACGGCGTAGTTGTCCTATGTACCATACTTTCTATGAAATTAAATAATTATTGGTAGTAGGTTTATTAATGCCTAATGAATAGGTACAAAACATAGAAGTGCATTCTCGTGTCGAGATATCATTTCTTTATTATGTTAAAACAATTTTTTGTATAAACTTTTTTTAAACTGTATTTGTAATATGTATTTTGAAACTATTCAATTGTTTTATATCATTTCTTTATAACGTTAAAACAATTTTTTGTAAAAACTTTTTTAACCTTTATTTGTAATGTGTATTTTGTAATTATTCAATTGTTTTAAGTTACTTTTATAATCAATTAATATACGTAGGAACGCATTGTTTCGCTCACGTCTAAATAGCAACTGTTTTGACATTGTGTTTGGATTTCAATATTATATCTGCCAATTTCAGGTCACTTGGACGAGGAGGAGGGTCACTACCAATGGATCGAAGGTCTGGCGATTTTAATATCCGTCATAGTTGTCGTTATAGTCACAGCGTTCAACGATTATACGAAAGAGAGGCAGTTCAGGTGGGTACTAGATTTATGTGATGTATATCTCATTAATTTATTATAGCGCATCAAAAGTCCACTGCTGAACATGGTTCCCCCATAGATTTGCTTATCGAGGGATATAGTCCACCGTTTCCACGCGTGGCGGGCAGGTTGGAGAGTACTTCAATTTCCTGCCATTACAGTAACTTTCTCATGATAAAAATGCTATGTTTTCCATCCTGGAAATGGACTAACACAGCCAAATTTTATCCAAATCCGTTCAGCCGTTTATTGGTGATTGAGTATCAAAAAATATTTTATCCAGTAAATTATTTATCAATATTTTTAAGTATAATAACCGCTGCTAGGAGACTTCATCTTTCCAAAGCACTTACATTACTATTTGTCTATCAAAAGTCCACTACTGAATATAGGCCCCCTCATAGATAGCCTCATAAGGTCATACGTCATATTTTGCCATAGTTGCCTGCTAAAAACGGGCGGGCAACCACTCTTTTTGTTATTTTGAGTTATCAGGAAGATTGTGCTGCTCATCTTCATGTTCAGTTTTTTTCATGTTTTTTACAATTTTGACGGTTTAGGTGATAAATTTTTTTTTGTTAATTACGCTGTATAAATTCGCAGGCTCTTTAAAAACTATCTTCTTGATAAATTGGTTCTAACATACAGTCAGCATTTCTCATTCTTCTGCTTTCAATACTACAATCAAACTTTACATCTTATGTAGTCTTTAAAATGCATGGTTTTCTAACAGTAAGTTAATTATCATAAAGGTTTTCCGTTGGGAATCTATATCGTTTGAACTTTGTAGTGCATTACTTTCAACAAAAGTCTCTGTGAATCTAGTTGTGTATTCCTGCAGGAATACAATACACCAAGATTTAGCCAAAGAAATAGATATATTATTGGGTGAAGTAGTTTTTACGTAGTAAATGTGTCTTAAGTTATTCATACAACTGTAATTCATAATTTGTTTATGATGTAATTTATCCTGTCAATAAATATTACCTGATGATTGAATGGCATTTAGTGTTTTAAAAATGTCCATGTTAGTTTCTAAAGTCTGTTCGTGACTAATTCAATGAGTCTATGCCACGATAAATGTTGGTCAACTATGATTTCTAGATACTTAGCCTCGAAGACTTTGCTAATTGATGTACAACTACAATTAGTATTTATGGGAATGTTGCTAGTGTGGAACTTAATACGTCAATTAATGTTACACTTAGTATGAATGCAATTTGTAAAACGTATATATAGTTTGTTTTAGAAACATTTAATGGTTGGAAATCAGCCACTTAGTAATCCTAGCAAGATCGTCTTAGGCTAGATGAGCTAGGTACGGAATCCCAAAAGTTACCAGTATTTAATTTAAATACTGAAGTGAAAAACTAATTTACAATCCACCTGATACTAACCTGATACTGATACTAAGTGCACCTTGGACACCTGTAGCCAACTTATATGTATGTTGTTATAAGTATGCAACAACTAGCATACTTATAACAACTCTGAGAACTAAGATGGAATGTCTCACCGCCTCTAATTATAGTAGCCCTCTATATCCATCGGACTGAAACACATCATTGCAAGTACAGAAATGGTTAAGAGGCAGAAAAGGCGTCTTACTATTTAGTTACTAATTAGTACTTAATCATCTGCATAGAAAATTATGCGGCTTTTGTTAATATTCATATGAGTGACGTTATTTATATAGATATAGAACAGAGTAGGGCCCAGCACGCTCCCCTGTGTGACTCCGAACGTTATATCTCATTCTTTGCTTATGCATTCGCCTATTTTTGCTTTCTGCTTGCGATTCTTAAGAATCTATACCGGATTTTAAGGGTGTACTCTTTACATCTATACACTCAAGTCAAGGGATTGAAACTGTCGAATTTTAGAGAAGGCAGAACAGAGATGGTTCGATAAATACTTACGTCATCCTTATCACTATCCTTGTACAATAGAGTGATAATTGCTATTTAAGGACAGTTTGTAAGGAACAGGAGTTTAAACACACACTGGACAATATTCGTGGTAGAGTCACGCTGCAGCTATATTACGGTTGCAGCACGAATGGGTTGGCTCGACTGGGGAAGGACCACGCTCTCACAGAATACCAGCGTAAAATAGTAGCATAATACTGGCTGCTGTTTCGTATGGTGAGTGTAGAGAACCGGAGACCCTTTGTACTGGGAATGAGGCATTCCATCTTAGTCCTCAGGGGTGACAATGACAACGCATCTACATTTTGATTCTTGATTGAACATTAATGTAGATGTAAGTGCTCGTTTGTCACCATATTCTGTAAAAAAGTGGGAGATCACTGGCAAAACAAACTCATGTACTTTACTACATTTAACCATTTACTAATACTATATACTTCTTGAGGGTCAGTTTCTAATAATACAAATGACGTGGGTTGTGTAGTCGTTAGGTTATCAATAATAGTGGACGCTTGCCAGGTAGCGCTCGACTTAATAGTATCGAGTAAGGTTATAAATAATAATATTGATAAAATATCCGCGGAAAAATTATGAACATAACAGAGTCGGGAGGGGGACAGATTTTGAGTTAAACAGTTGTATATTTTTTCAACTAACTTTATAACAAACAATTTAACAATTTTTTATATTAGTTTATCATTTGCAGTCTTTAATCTCAAATTGTTTACTGTTAATATGAATAAAAAATTGAGTATGTTCGACTGTGTTCCAACAATTTTAAATTTTATTGGTTTGGGTGGTAGAGTAACTAGAACATTAATCTTGGAACACATAGATCATTGTTTCATTATAACGTTTTATATGATATAGGGTTAACTGTACCGTCCATGCAAACAACATTTTGTGATGTATCTACATCATCATGATTTCATCCCATCACAGGTTCATCACTAATGAATTCAATACTCCCCACGATACAACGCACGGCCTTGATTCAATAGTATTTTTTTATCAAGTTGTCATTCCATTTAGCGAGGGTCAGGTGATGCGCTTTTAATGTCGTAAAATATATATATTCCAATATGTTCAAAACTTGTTAAATTCCAGAGGGCTTCAATCAAGGATAGAGGGCGAGCACAAGTTTGCGGTGATCCGCGGCGGTGAGGTTAATCAAGTGCCTATCAGCGAGATCGTCGTCGGGGACATCTGCCAGATCAAATATGGCGACTTGCTCCCTGCCGATGGTATCCTGCTGCAGAGTAACGACCTCAAGGTACGCAATAATGGTCTCAAACCAATTTTGACCACGGCGACTCTCCCAACACCATAGTATTACCTATATTAAGATTCGATGATCCGCCACTCGTCTGCTGTCGTGAAACACTCCTGACACAAGCATTAAAGGCTCACTTGGAGTTGTCAACGGGGAATTAGTACTGTTAAACTTAATATAATAATAATCCCGTGTCACGCTGTTCGTTCACGCTAATCTCCGAAACCTCTCAACCGAATGAAATTTTGTAAATGTGTAAAGCGTGCCTCAACTTGAGAGATAGGATAGCTTTTATCCCGATAATTGACCCTCATAATTCTTATTGCGAATTTAAGGTTTTTTTTTATAGGACAAAAGAACGTCGGAAAGTGCAGAGCAACGTCTGCCTAGCCAGCTAGTAGCACTATAAAGTAAAATTCAACGCAACTTTTATATGTTTATAATAAAAAAATTAAACTTGGTAATTTTTGAATATTTTCTAGGATTATGTTGTAAGTGTTTACGTTTCCCCAAGAATGATTACTCACTCTATGCAGTCGAGTAACTGGTATCACCAGCTCGTATTTATAGAGTGTACATGCTTTTTTATTACAGCTACTTTTGTTTTGATTTTTATTCCTTAACTAGCGATTCGACCCGGCTTTGTACGGGTGATTTGTGGATGTCAACAACAACGCCAACGTCCAGGGTCCCACTCAAATACAAAAACAATCATCAAAATCGATCGGAGCCATTTTCGAGTTCTTGTGAGACTAACGGACAGCAATTTCTTTTTATACCAAGAGAATTTCGTGTATTGGTTTGTCACTAATATTCTCTAGACTGTGCAGATTTTTTACCCAGTGGTACATTTATCGATACTATCCTCTCTTCTTGTGACATACGTCATTGTTTTAAGTCGACGCACAGTTCATTACGCATCCCGAGTAGTAGTAAAATACGATAAAGTTAATATCCTGATGGGTTTTGGTTTAAATTACCATACACCCACAAGTCGCTTACAGCGTTTACTCATACGACGCCATTGTACCTTCCCTTGTCGCCCAGGGACGTTTTATGTAATAAGGTGCAATGCAAATTATAATAAATCATTATTATAATAGTGAGATTATAATAAATCATTATTATGATTGGAAGAGGCCTATTTTATTTTACTTTTATTTTATTTTATTAGGAAAACTTATAACAATTGCTTATAATACTATAAAAAATATAATAATATACTATTAAGCCATTTACAAGTTTCCACTTTTAGAATTAAAAATAAAAGGTATAAACAAAAGCTAGTTCAAAGATAAATAAACTAGTTAACAATAGGTACCTTAAAGTTAAAAATCCTATGTGTATTATGAATATTTTAAGAAATAATACAATGATTTAGCAAAATATTCACTAGTTAATGTACTCTTGGCCATACTCGGGGAAGTATTAAATGGATCAATATCCAGCATGTATGTCCAGTAATGGACTGCTGCAGGCTGATGATGATGGTGATGACCGTGACGGTATTCGTATTAAACCCGTTCCTGCGAACGGGCTATTTGTAAGTCACGCCTACTACAATTCGCGTTACGTCTTTTTTTAGAGCTAGGAATGGTTCCAATGTTTTTAGCGCTCACTGGTCTTAGTTGTCTGACACTCTTCTGTAGTCTTCTTTGTCTAAAGTAGTTCGCAGGTGTTCATGGGCTGTAGTAGCCACTAACCATCAGGTGAACATACAGGTGTTTGCTCGCTTACCAACTTACTGTCTTATAATAATCGATTATCGCTTACATAAGTTAAGTGTTAATTATCTCTATACCTGCCTCTTTCTATTGTTATTTAGTTAAAAGAGAAAGAGCAACCTTAGGCATTTCTTAAATTGACGTCGATGTTTATGAGTAAGGCCAATAATGTTTTGTAAAAAAATAAAAATCTGACGTGTGACAACCTCAAGGACTTGCTATCGCATAAAACAATTTGTATCGCATCTACTCTACGCGACTGTATCTGTACCTGTACTGTACAATGTACATACAGAACCGTGGCTGATTATTGTCGATAAGCCAATAAGTAGGCAACCGCTATCTTCCGATTATCGCCCCATTCCTCTGACGCACGTTGTCGCGATACAAATCTGATGAAGGACCAATATAGAAATTATTGCAACTTGCTCGTGATAAGTATTGGCGCGTCGCCGATTACTGCGATGATTATAAAAAACCAATATGCGGTACAGTCGTTAACATAAGTAATTTAGTTTAATGTAATAATGTTTTTTCATTCATATCAGCCCACCACAAGTCCAATGCTAAACGTCGACCTCACCCTTAGATTGCCTTATAATGGGGACATTTTCTGTAGTTGTTTTTTTTTTTGTTCTTTCTGAACTTTATTAGGGAGATGCTACTTCCCATCTCCTTTTTCAGATTTCCTCTGACTCCGACCGCTCTGACGATATGGTGGCCAATGCTTTCACTGGCACTCCACCATTATTTCCATCCTCCTACTTATACCTTATTAAATTGATATTTTGGCATGGCGTCGAAAAAATTCCGAGGTTCAGTCTTGAGAAGAAGAATCAGAGGATGCTCAACGCTTATTGGAATTTATTTTAAAGTTCCCGTTTCGAAGATGTTGTAATAGTTGATAGGTTTCAGAAAGTTCAAATTTCACTATAGGTCCACATTTCATATGGCAAGTGTCTTGTTCAACACTATGTGTGTTCTCTCTCTGTCGCGTCTGCGTATGTACGTTCGTACATTACCTTTTTTATCTTATATATCTTGAAAACAAATTATGATATCGACTTCAAATACTCCACTTTAACGTGGAATAAGTCAATTCTATCAGAACACTAACTCTTTACGACCCTATTTACTGGTAACTGTTCTATATTAGGCCTGAGCATTAACAACTCATCTACATTTTTAATTATTGATCGAGAATAGATTCGACAAGTGATTGCAGTGGCACATAGAGAATAGAGTCTATGTGCCACTGCAATCACTTGCCATATTATTGTGTGCTATACCAAAATTTGCTCGACGTGATACCAAAAAATGATTACTTGTTCGACTTTCGTAAAAAAACGACAAACCGAAAAAATGGCATACAAAATTGCACCTCAACCCATATTATAATTTAATTTACACACTATTTTAATAAAGCTTTACAATGATATTACTAAATCTTAAACAAACCGTTTACACAACAGTTATCACAAACATAAGATCAAATAAGCCACTTGTAAGGACAGATTAGTTACATACATTTTCTGATTTGGCATTTTAAATACGTGGTAGAGCCATGCTGCAGCTATATTAGTAGTACAGTTGTAGCACGAATGGGTCGGCTTGACCGGGAAAGGACCACGCTCTCACGGAATACCAGCGTAAAATAGCAGCTTAACACTGCTGTGTTTCGTATGGTAAGTGTAGAGAACCGGAGACCCTTTTTACTGAAAAAGAGGCTTTCCATCTTAATCCTCACGGGTCACAACGCATATGCATTTTGATTTGCAAACGAGGATAAATGTAGATGTCTATGGGCCACAGCAACCACTCACCATCAGGTGGACTGTGTGCTCGTTTGTCACTCCGCCCGCAACATATAGCTTAACCTGTAAATTATAATTTCTGAATACAACATCAGTGACTTTTGAGATTTTAATTACTGAACCCGATAGGCACCTGAGGCACCTTCTGGGAGTCATATTGCGAGGTTATCAGGCATTAGTAACTTGTATATTATTACCCAACAACATCGCACACTCCCACACGTATCTCGCACACACACTTATCAGCAGCTCAAGATTGAGCAACTACACCTTGCAATGTCATTTACGTCACTGCGGCCCATAGATAGGGTTACCATATCTCAGGATTTGTCCTGAGATCTCAGGATTTTTGGACTCCTCTCAGGATTGCGACTGGATTTTGCAAATCTCATGAAATCTCAGGATTTTTAGAATTTTCAATACAATACAGCTTACATTTTAAAAATCTCTAATAAAAAGTTAAACTAATAATAATCTTCTTCTTCTTAATTAATAATTGCACAATTAAAATCAAAACTTATTTATCCAAGTAGGTACTTAAACAGTTTTATCATATTTAATATGTGAAGATACCTTTTTAAGTAAGGTTTTTTCTTTAAATATTGATTTATATAATGCCCCACATGTTAAACTCTTCAAATTAGGTATATTGAAATAAAAGTATAGCTCGAACCGTTCGACGGTTTCTTTCATTCGACCATTGAGCCCCAATAATAGAAAAAAGTTCTTTCTACGTTTGTATTCTGGACTGTAATTGCAAATATATATTGACAAATACGCCTTATCTCTGGTAATCGTGAAATACCTATTGTCTTGAAAATGGTTAAAATATGGTATTGAGTATTTCATTTTAAATTGAGATTGATTGATGATGATTAAGTCTCGGGTTGGGGGCGACTAAATCTAGTCCAGTTTAATCCTCAGAAGACACAAGTTTGCGCGTTTACCGCTAAAAAGAACCCATTTGTCGTATCTCCTTAGTTTCAAGGCACTGACCTTGTTGCCTCAGCCAGTATCGGAATCCTCGGCGTCGACATATCGAGTGACGTGCAGTTTTGTGGTCACTTGGAAGAGAAGGCGAAATTGGCCTCTAAAAAGCTTGGCGTGCTCAGCAGAGCGGGACGGTATTTCATGCCGGCTCAATGCCTGCAACTTTACAAGGCGCAGGTTCGGCCTCACATGGAATACTGTTCCCATCTCTGGGCAGGGGCTCCCCACTGCCAGATCCTTCCACTTGACTGCATCTCTTTACATTTTCTTTCGCATTCACCACGGGGAGTGCTCTGAGGAATTGTTCGGATTAATCCCGGCCGCTAAATTTCATGAACGCACATCGAGGCAGAACTCCCGATACAATCCACACCATCTGGATATTTGGCGGTCCACCACTGTGCGATTTAGAAGATGTTTTCTTCCTCTCACAACTTCCTTGTGGAATGGTTTACCACCAGAGATTTTTGCG